ATATTACAATACGCCCCCGCAAACTCACGGCGGAGAAGAGAGAAGCCGAAGTTTGTCCCGAAATCGAAAGAATAACTCTTTGGACAAGGGTTTTGTCGAATATCGCAAGTCGATCGGCAGCAGAGATAGAATTGACCGAAACAAACTTACGCCGAACATGATCTCGAACAAAGTGAAAATCAACCTCAACATGTCTTGTACGAGCATGGAACACAGGATTCACAGCAAGAAAAACTGCACTACTGTTGTCACACCAAATAGAGGGAGAGCGATTTAAAGAAACGCCTAACTCGGACAACAGATGACACACCCAATGCAGTTCAACACAGACATTAGCAACCGCACGAAACTCAGCCTCAGTAGACGAGCGAGCCACAGTGGGCTGCTTCCTAGATGCCCGTGCAATGAGATTAGGTCCCAAATAAATGAGAAAACCAGTAGTAGAACGACGATCATCCGGACAACCAGCCCGGTCAAGATCACTAAACGCAGAAGAGTACCCAAATCAGAGGATGCGAACTAAAGAAATCAATGGTACCACGAAGATAGCGAAGAACCCGTTTGAGAGCCCGAAAATGAGAAGTGCGAGGTGATGCATAAACCGACAAAGCTTATTAACCGCAAAGGAGATATCTGGACGAGTGAGAGTGGTATATTGCAGACTGCCACACAACCGACGATAAGTAGTCTCATCATCAGGAGACAACAGAGTACCATCCAAACGGGATAACACAACATTAGCCTCGCAAAGGAGTGGAAACAGTTTGCAAGTATGCATATTTGCAAGTCGTAGCAAATCAGTGACATACTTGCGCTGAGAGAGAAGCAAACCTTTGGAAGTACGACGAACCTCAACCCCAAGAAAGTAACTCAATGGACCTAAATCCCGAAGAGAAAACTCCTTAGCAAGACAAGAGATAAAATGCTGAACCAAACCAGAAGTGCTGCCTGTAAGAATAATGTCATCCACATAGACCAGTAAAAAACACAACTGCGACCCACGGCGATAGACAAAAAGAGACGAATCACAACGAGACTCCACAAAACCCAAGGTAAGTAGAAATGCTGCCACCGAGAATACTGGCCCGAGGAGCTTGCTTAAGACCATACAAGGACTTATGCGTTTACACACATAATGAGGGCGCACCGGATCAACAAACCCCGTGGCTGAACCATATACACGGTCTCACCGAGAACACCATTAAGAAAGGCATTACGACATCAAGCCGAGAAATCGACCATCCACGTGCAGGGGCAACGGTCAAAACGGAACGAATGGTGACCGGCTTAACAAGTGGACTAAAAGTGTCAGTGTAATCAACCCCAAAAGACTGAGTAAAACCTCGAGCCACCAACCGAGCCTTATACCGCTCAATAGAGCCATCGGCATGAGTTTTAATCTTATAGAGCCATCGATTACCGACAACATTGCCGGAGGAAGGAGGGGAACTAAAGTCCATGTGTTATTTTTGAGGAGGGCGGAAATTTCATCCTTCATGGCATTCTGCCACTGAGGAAGAGATTTGGCTTGGGTGAAGGATGTAGGAGCAGTAGACAAGGCTGGGGAAACAGAGGTAAGATGAGCCGAGGATCAAAAATTTTCTTGGGCTTGGGTTGTGGACGAAGTGTCATTGAGGCCGACGGGAAGAAGGAGGAGGAGGTGGCGGCGGAGGACTGCAATGATGATGAAGGGCTGGATGCGGGAGATCTAGCTAAAGGTGATGAGTCGGGAGGGATAGGAGGAGACGAAAGAACTGGTGTACTAGAAGGAGACGAAGAAGACGCAGAAGACGACGCAAGTATACCGGGAGAATCGGTTACACGCAACCAAGGGGTAGCGAAGACTCCAGCAGTGAAGAAGGAGAACTAGAAATAGGAAGTTTAAAGGGAAAGAGTTTCTCATCAAACTCAATGTGACGAGCAACATAAAGACGGTTATTCACCACATCAAAACAATGATAACCAAGATGAGATGGAGAATACCCAAGAAAGACACACCGAGTAGAACGAAAGGAGAATTTATGTTTATTATAAGGGCGAAGAAGAGGATAGACAGCGCAACCAAAGACACGAAGAAAGGTATAATCGGGTGGTGGTGATATAGTGTAGTGAAGGGAGGTGACCTTGAAGAGGTTTACTAGGGTGGCGATTAATCAAAAACACAGCAGGTTTCAAAAGCAAACTCCCAAAACCGAAAAGGGTACTGGAATGGCCAAGGAGAGCAAGTCCAATGTCGACAATGTGACGAATTTTGCGTTCAGCAGTGCCATTCGCTCATGAGTGTGTGGGCACGCTAAACGATGAACAATACCAACATCCTTAAAGAAAGAATTGAGAGAACGAAATTCACCACCCCAATCGGAGTTAACACTTTTAATGGTAGTGCCAAATTGGTTTTCTACGAGAGCTTTGAATTGCTTGAAAACATGGACAACATCACTTTTATACTTAATTGGATAAATCCATGTGAATAAAGAGAAGTCATCAATAAAAAGCACAAAGTAGCGATAACCATTGAATGACAAAATAGGAGCAGGACCCCAAACATCAGTGTGAATTAAATCAAGAGGTTTAGAGCTACGATGAAATGTAGAAGGTAAACTGACCCTATGTAACTTCCCTAAACAACACGCCTCACATTTATCAGTGGACGTGGACACAGAGGAGTAAGGAAGTTGAAATTGCCTAACCAAAGTACGAAGAGTGACATTATTAGGGTGCCCTAAACGGGCATGCCACTGACCTAAAGAGACAAGATAAGCTGCTGGAGACAAGGAACCACGAGCAGGAAGATCTAAGCGATAGAGACCCTTATCAGCCCGACCGTGGAGGAGGAGTTCCTTGGTTGAAAGATCCTTAACACAACAAGAGTCAGAATAAAATTCAAAGAAACAGTGATTATCACGGGTAAACTTTTGAACAGATAACAGAGGTTTAGTAAGAGAAGGAGCATGCAAGACACGATTTAAATAAAGAGGACGAGAAAACGATGGCAAAACAGATTGACCAACATGCTGAATAGGTAAAGCATCTCCATTACCAACTAAAATATGGTCCGTACCAGTATAATCATTGGAGATACTGAGAGAGGACAAATCTGGCGTGACATGATCGGTAGCACCAGTGTCCGGATGCCGTGGAGTGACAGAAGGTGCATACTGCGCCATATGAGCTTGAGAAGACATAGTCGCCTCCGGTAAGACGGAAGAGGCAACAAACCAGTGAAGGCGGTGCGGGGAACTCCGCTGGGCATAAGCAGCCGACCGAACGGCGGGGGTCGAGGAACAAAGTTAGTATCAAAACGGCGTCGACAAGTGGCGGCCGTGTGATTCAAGATGCCGCAAAGCCGACACGTCTCACCCGGAGCGGGAGGGTGTAACCACGCCGACCACCACCACGACCGAAACTCGATTGCGCCGGCCGCCGCGTTGCGAGCGACCGGCACGAGAGGATTGAGGCGGCGTAGGAGAGGGGGCGACCGCACAAGCATGGGTGTGGGTCAAGGACCAGTGTTGAGCGTGAAGAAGCACCTCATATGAAACTAACTGTCCAAGGAGATCTTGATAGGAGGGGTTCGGATCGGCATTGCGAGCTCCGATGATGCCATTGAATTCGGCACCAAGCTTGCGGAAGATTATGGCATTAAACTCCGCAGAGATATGCGATGGCCGGCAAGCTGCAGTGTATCGGCGATGCCCTTCGCTTTGGAGAGGAGAGCCGTGACCGACAAGTCACCTTTTGCAAGCCGTGGAGCTCCATAACAAGTCGGGTCTGCTGAGCATAAGAAAGAGTGCCGAAACCTCGTCAAGAGCTGTCCATGCAGCCTCCGATGTTGTGTGCCACGGAGAACGGAAAAATCTCTTCAAGAACGGAAGAAAGAATCCAAGAGAGGACCAACTGATCCTTTTGCTGCCGATATCAAACTCGGGATTGAGTTGGGGCACGGCACCACTAACGGAAGGAAGAAAACGTGGCGGTGCAGGTTCGGTGCCGTCGACAATACCGCAACACGAAACATAGTCAATAAAGGAGTAAATTGAAGACGCCAAGACGAATAGTTGGCCCGCGATTGCAGCTTCACAGTAAAGGAATGATTGAGAGATTGCATACTAGGTTGAAAAATTGATACTGATGCCTGTGAAGAAGATACCGGTGACCGAAGATGAGTAGCCTGGTCGGCGGATGAAAGGTCGGTGATAGTCATCGTTGAAAGTAAGCAAGCAAAAACAATTCTTTATGATGATTTTTTTTTGGTTTTTTTGTTTTTTGTTTTTTTTTTTGATTTTTTTTTTTTTGATTTTTTTTTGATTTTTTTTTTTTTTGTTTTTTTTTTTTTTTTTTGTTTTTTTTTTTTTTTTTTTATTTAACAGCAGCAACAATCAACGGCACCAACAATCGGCCAAAAACGGAGACCGACAACGACGACGACGATGAGGAACGACGACGATGAGGAACGAAGACGACGACGACGACGATGAGGAACGGAGATGAGGAACGACGACGGCAGCAGCACGGAGGATGCGACCGACGATGGAACGGATTCAACGCCGACGACGACGAACACACGCCGACGAACACACGCGGGCAGTAGCAGAAAGACAGCGGCAGCAGCGGCGGCGAAGAAGGGGGCAGCGGCGGCAGTAGGTGATGCTGAGTTTGGTCGACGGGGAGAAGAAGAAGAACGCCGGTGATGCTGAGTGTGGTCGGCGCGGCAGAAGGTTGGATGGGAGAAGGTGACAATGCCGGCAGGCGGCGGTGGAAGATCAACGGCGGCGGTGGAAGATCTTTACGACTGGAAGAAGCCGGCGATGCGGAGCGTGGTCGACGGTGAAGAGCAGAAGAAGAAGCCGACTATCGGCGAAGGGGGTGTGCACGGCCGAAAAAGAGGAAGTCGGCGGGGGAGAGAAAGAGAGAGGAGAGAAAAGAAAAAAATTGGTTTTGTTAAACCTAGCTCGATACCAACTTAGAATAGGGAAATTGTATTGAATTCATAATGTGTTGTGCACAATATACAGACTATATATAGACAATAACAAACCCTATAATAGGAAATATACTAAATATTACAATACAACCCTTCTCCTGCTTGTAAAGCCATTAGTATTTTGTTCAGACCCTTTATTCTGTGATCAATGCTACCAAATGAAGATTGGCTCCAGTTATAAAGGTGTCGTAGGATGATTTCCAATTTGTCAGAGAAGTTTTGTACCATATTAGAGTCATCAGGCGTCGGAGATTTCCAGATTTTCCTTAAAATCGATTCAGCTGCTTCTGTTTTAGACCAAAAAGTCTCAAATCGGATGCCTTTTTGTTGCTTGTTATTTTGAGGGATAGTAGTAAGACAGAATGGACCGTGATCTTAAACTGTAATCGGTAGATTCAGCAATGAGGCCTGGGGAAAAACATCAAACCAAAGTGGATTTGCAAAATCCCTATCCAACCGTTCTATAATTCGATCACTACCTTTCCTTTTATAAGACCATGTGAACTTATTACCACTGAAAGCAACTTCTTGGAGCTGGAAGTCATCCAAAAGACCAAGTAAAGCACTGGCTTTAGCATCATTAAAGCTCAAACTGCCCCTCTTATCAGCAGGACATATAACCTGATTAAAATCGCCCAAAATGACCCAAGGTATCGAATGCTTCAAAAGGACAGTCCTTAATTCATTCCAAACTAAATACCGACTGTCATGAGCGGGGCTGCCATAAACAAAAATAGAGCCCCAAACCAGACCTGAGGGCTCCTGTATCCTCAAGGCTATTACGTGAGCCGATTTACTAACCACACAAGCATCTACATTACTTGACCAAAATACCCCAAGTCCCCTGCTTAAGAGAATGCACTGCAGGAGTACGAGCCAAGCCCCTGCAGTTCCAGGAAAGGAGCTTCATGGCGACCCTGGTGGTTGATTTGGTTCAACCACCGCAAAACCTTCACCCGCGTTAGAGGTAAAATGATCACAAGCTTCCCTCTTAGCTTCACTGCCGACCCCATCCTCGAGTTTTGATTTCTTGCCTGTAGATATGAAAGGTAGTTGCCCTTGTAAATGAGCTTCTCCAAATTCTACAAACTGACCAAAAGTGTGTTTCACCGGGAGTCTAAAAGTTTATTTGGGAGTAGCTGGTGGAGACAAATCCGTATCAGGAGAGGACTGAAAAATTCCAAGCTTAACTCTACGACGCTTTGTTGTATTGACAGCATTAAACAGTTGCTGGTGACCAGAATGAAGAGATAACTTTGTCTCTTGACCAAGCAGTAGTTCATCCCCTCCACGATTATGGGTTGGCCTTTCAACACTAAGCAGGTGCCTTTTGTTTTGGGATGAATCCAGATTCATTCTAATTAGAGGTGCTGACACACATGTTGGGTATGGGCTGTGGGTGCACTGCTGTTGAAGTGTATTCTCATTGCAGGCCGAATTGGGCTTGTTAAAAACATTTTGACCCATTACTCCCAAAGTAACTTTGTGGTCCAAGTCTTGAGACCCACCATCAGAGGCCACGTCTGCTGTCTGATTCACGTTGCACTGCCACACCAACTGAGCGTTGACCACTGACACACCGCTGACGCCAGCAGTATCGGGCTCTTCACCGACGACACCCGTATCAATATCCATCTTCATCGGAGCAACTGAAATTGGTGGAACCAGAGGATCTGATGCTTTCCTCCAAACCTGATGCGGCCGCCGTTGCCTCGTTCGCTTCGGACCCAGAGAGTGGTGCAAAGCAGAATGTGAATTCCGCCACTTTCGGCGATAGCGGCGTTTCCGTCCCAGAGGTAGAGAGCTGTGACAAATACCCGGGGAATTGATAGTAATTTTGACCGTAGGAACCGTCTTCGTGAACCTGCAAATCATAGTAGCCAGAGCTTTGGAGATGGCCTGACCCATGGCTGTTATCTGCACCACCTTATCGGTGTTATGATGAAGAAGAGACAACCCATAAGCTATATATTTATTTTGTTGTCCAGAATTAGATATGCGAATTTCATTCTTTGGCAGATCTGGAGAACCCATCGAATTCCCTTCATTTATCAAATTCAAAATTTGGAAGAGTTATCATAAATTCTATAATTATTAGGTAACCAAAACTAACCACATTTTAAAAAATTATTCACTACAGGAGTTTGTGTTTAAGAGCCAAAATGACTTGAAAATGAAAACTAAGTGGACGTCCAAATAAGACCTCCACTTAGTTTTTATTTTTAACTCATTTTGCCTTTAAACACAAAACTCAATGAAAAACAAACTGACGTCTAAACAACTTTCTGATTTATATTTTAAAATCAAACTTGCAATATTTTGTTAGTGTAGTGAACATTTTTTGGATCTAAAAATAGTTCAGTGAATAAATCCAAAATTTTGCACATTTATTTCAATTTGTCTCTAGTCAAAAAACACTTTCTACAATTGATGGTGGTTAGGAAAAAGTTTTTTTGGAATATGTATTGAAATATCAAGTCAAAAAATATCACTAAACAATCGAAAAGTGTCAATTTTGGTCACTGTAGAAAAAAAATTTCAAAAATTATCACTAAACAACAGAAATGTGTCGATTTTGGTCACTGTAAAATATTAATTTTAGAAGTTATTCCGTGATTTTAGTGATCATTTTACAGTGACCAAAATCGACACTTTTCTGTTGTTCAGTGATCATTTTTTAAATTCTTTTTTAACATTGACCAAAATTGACACTTTTCAATTATTTAGTGATTTTTTTGTACTTGATATTTCCATAAATATTCAAAAATTTTTTTTTTAAACCACCATCCAAACAACTTTTTGCTAAAATAACATTCAAACAACTTTTTCATTTTCCACTAAGTTTTTCACTTAAAACACATTCCACTTCCAAGTCAAAAATGAAAACTAAAACCACGTCCAAACAAGCACACTCTTTTACCTGTAATACGAATGAATGACTAAATTTCAAACTTGATCTATCATAAAATGCACTCTAGGCTGTCAAAAAGAACAATTTCTTAAGTTAAAAAATTGGCCCATATAATAATGAAATTTGTTTTATCATTAAAAATTGTTTTATCATTCCCATTTTACCCTATAATAATGAAATGAAATTGCCATTCGGCTTTTCCTCATTCCTGCGCACTGAACGAACCCTTTTCTCTCAAATGAAGGAGCTGCCTTTGCGATTACTTTAGAATGAGGCTCTGTAATTCAGAGAGGTTGGGAGTTTTTTTTCTCCAGTTTCCATGGTTGTTTGCCCTTCTCTGCAATTACTGTGCCCATGATTTCCTTGCTTCGTAAATGTCGAAAAACAACCATTGGAATCTTTCATCGTTATCCAAACTGAGCCTTACAACACTAGACCCTTTCCTCTGAGAGGCTTTGATGATTCTTCCTCCGAAATCGAAATGTCAGATTGATTTTGAGCTTAACCCGTATCTTGGATGGGCAAAATCTTTCATGGGTTTTTGCAGCCATGCCGGGATTAGCCTTCTTCTCTCTGGCCTAAGGCAGATCTGAGCCTCAATTTTAAAATGTGTCTCTCTTTAGTTTAAGAATGAGGCGCCGTCGATGCAATGGAGGAAAGGGTCTGGTTTTTTAGGGTGGTTACCCCTCTCTGCGTTTCACCGCCGATGATCTTGAAATCAACAAAAGAAATAGCCATATGTTTTGGTTAGGAAACCACAAAGAATCCCTTGTTTTTTGCCCCCCTTCCCTTGGTTTTTGTTTGATTTGGTTGGCTAGTAGAGAAATTGTCTTCTGAAAATTCTGTCTTACTATCTATCTTCTCGTTAGATAAGGCGTTAATGATCTTTTGTAGTTGGATTTTGAAAGGAAAAAACAGATAACTTCATATCTTGGTTGGGCAGCTAAGTGGGAGGGTCCCTAGGAAGGCCACCACGTTGATTTAGCAGTCTTTTGGTGCCTGGTTGGAGGCAGAACTGAGCTTACTTTCTGATGAAATAAAATGAGAGTAGTTTTTCAGGAACATAAAATTGCTGTCTGTCTGCCTTTTATTTCATCAATTTGATAATGATAAAGATAATCCGGTTTCCTCTTCATGCTGCCATCCTGCTGAATGTTTTATCGCCAGGAAGGCCCTGCAAGAAGTAGAATGAGGAGGCAACACTGTGGGGTTGAGATTTCTTTAAGGTGGGTGCCCCTCTCTCTCAATCACAATGAAAGTAGTACAACCAATATGTTTTTCTTTCTTTCTGTCTTTTTTAATCAATTTGAACTACACTCCTATTTCCTTTGTTTACCTTTTTTTCCATTTTGCTATTGATTTCTTTTGTGGCCATAAAATTTAGGGTTCTCTGTTTCTTTGGAACTGTAAAAGGGCTGTTTCAGTTTGCTAGTCGTTTGAATTGTTAATTCATGCTGATACCTCTAGGCAGTAGACCTGTTTTCTTGTGGAATTTAATGCTTGAGGTTTTCTGCGATGATTCCTAAAAGAGAATCACTTGTAAACTATAAAAAGCTGGTTTGGAGGTTGAAGATAGGATTGTACTTACTACCTGACAGTGGTCTTTACTTAGTTTTAGTAGAGAAAGGATGTGATAATATATACTTAGTAACCTTAATTTTATACTAGAAGTCAGTTTTTCGGTACTTGGCTTGGGAATGTAGTAGATTGATTTTGTGCGGATTTCTACTCATAATTATTTGGCTTGGCTTTATCAATGTTCTCTGGGTTGGATAATTTTACTACTAATGAAAAGTTATACTATCTAACTTTCCTAAAGTCTAAACTGGTATGCAGTATTGACATAGTGTGGGTTTGATTGTCCTTGCATGAACAGGATGTCTGGTTGAATCTAATAGTTAAATAGGAGAGTGTATATTTTTGTAATCTAAAGGTTAAACAGAGAGATTGTATGGTTTGATTTGCAAATAAAACCTCTTATATGTGATAAAGAAAAATGGTCCAATAAATGCTTCTCGGTAAGTAACAATGTTGAAAAACATATAATCAGTCGTCTTTTGTTTATTCCCGGCAGAGTTTCATCTCAGCAACAATTTTCCTGGAGTTTGGAGTTCTCTCTCAGTACTGAAGTAATGGCAACTTGTGTCTGCCATAAACATTGGTCATTCTTTTGCAAGATTCCAGTTGATATACTTAATTATTTTTCTCATTTAGCCTAACCTTAGTTCATGTAATGCCATTATCTTACACAATGGTGTCTATGTAGGATTATCTTTTCATAAATCACTGATACAAGTTTGAAGAGAGTTAATAATCTGGATGGTTTAAAATTTCGTGTGCTCTTTAAATGATAGCTACCAAAGGCACTAGTCTTATAAAAGGGCCTAAACGGCCTTATTCTAGTTCAGCTAAGTAGTGCTCAGCTTTTAGAAGTTGAGGCTTCAGTGACAGATTGAGACTTTCTCAAGGGTAGTTGCTCCTCTCTGTTAGCCAATGATCTTCCTTTCATAAAGAAAACTAATCATGCCCTTCTTAAGTGTTTCAGGTGTTGTATACTTGTTGTTCTATTTCTGTTCTAGAATATGCATGCGTTTTAGCTTTTACAACCTCCCAAAGCGAAGGATTGAAGTTGAGATTGCAATGATTGCTTTTTGAGCACATGAAATTTGGCCACATCTTGGTTGGGAAATCCGGATGGCATGTTTAGGAGAATTCTTTTATGTTTCTTTCCCTTACTTGCAACGACTTTTCTTTCTTTTTGGAACCATGGCTGTTCCTTTCTTTCATTGCCTAGTTCACAAACCTTCCTCCTTCCTGTCCTATGATAAGAGTCAGACAAAAGTGTCAACACTCTAGTCTTAAGTTCACAAACCAATGAAGCTCAAAAACTGAACGCTGAAATAAGTTACTGAGCTTTGTTTCTTCTCTTAACTTCTCAGCGACAAACCTTGCTGATTTTTTATCATTAATTTAAGAATGAAGCATAATCTACACAGTGGATAAAAAGGGTACTTTGGGGGAATTTGCCCCTGATTCTGTTGGTATCTTTATGAACTCAAAAACAGCCATTTCTGCAAACAACTCCCTGGCTAAATTGCAATTTGCAAGTGCATCAAACCCCCTAAGCTTAGGGGTTGGGGTTTTAGACCAGGGGTTGACCTGGGGTTAAGTTTTTTGGGCAAAACAGACTTTTTAACTGATGAACCAGATTTTGTGCTGGATTTTACAGGTCACCTTGGTACGGTAACCGGCAGGTTATCTGTCGACTCTGCCTGTCTTGTCCGAGTCTGACAATGCTGCCGACCTCGTTCTTAGGTTTTTTGGTTTGGCAAGGTCAAAATTTTGGCTTGAAAACTGTTTCTTTTGTCTTTTTTTTGCCCAACTACCAATAGACATGGCGGTTGGAACCTCATTAGCTGCGTCTCTTTCTTGAGTCTCTTTCTCTTTATTAGACGGAGCAGTGATTACTTTTGTAACTTGTTTTTGGAAGAAAATCAGACATGATAGCTAATCTCATATCTTGGTAGGGCAGCTCAGAGGGTCTTTAGGAAGGAGCACTGTTGCTTGCAACTATGGTGATTTAGCCATATTAGACTGTCTGATCAAAGGTGAATCTGAGCCTCTTCTTTGTCTATCATCAACATCAACATACTCAGTATATTCCGAACCAAGTTGGGGTATGGGGGGTCAGATGTACGCTGCCTTGCCCTTGTAAATGTACAAAGAGACTGTTTCCATTGCGACCCAGGATACATCGCGGCCTTTTAAGTATTGATTTCCAGCGACTTCACTAATAGAAGAAGCACCTCTTTGTCTATGGTTTAGGAAAAATTCCTACAAGGGAAATATTCCTTGATCGTGCCATGTTGCAAAGGATTTCATGAAAGAAAAAAAAACAATGCTCAGGAAGGAATTGAATGAGGCAGCAGTTGAGTTGGGATCTTTTTTTAGGGTGGTTGCCCCTTTCTGTTGGCCAACTATTTCACTATTTTTTTTGGATGAAAAACCCAACCACCCTTCAAGTCAGAAATGACTATATACATACACACACACACACACACACACATATACACTTATTCCTTTGGTTCCATCACGATTGTGTGTGATATCTGACAGTTCATTGTCTTCTTTTTTTTTTCAACTGTCTTGGTGACGGCGGTAGTGATGGATAAAGGCTTTGCATTAACAATGTGCTTTTCTTGGGTTGAAAAAAGGGGCTATGATGATTTTTCTTAGGCATCCTTCTGAGCAAAATGAAATCAGGCATTTGAGATAGTTTTCACCTGCATCTTGGTAGGGCAAACCCAGATGGCATACGAAGAGGACAACATTGTTTGTTCTGTATGCAACTGCTGATTTGCAACCATGGCATGGTTGATGGTCTCTGCTTGGTTTAAACAAACAGATCTGAGCCTCGCCCTATTGTCCTTGGCAGTTTGTTTCCTTCATTTTTTATCTGATCTCTCTTATTTTCAAAAAAATTTGTTGGTTTTTGTTTTTTCTTCTTAGGATCTGTCAGTTTCTTGAAAAAATATAAATTTTGTCACAAAGATCGGGAAATGATTTTGCTAGCCCGTTTTGTTCTTGTATTTTTTCCCCCCAGTTTTTATAGTTTTTTAAAATTTCTGGGCTTTAGTGCTGAATGTTGTCTTTCAAGGATTGTACCTTTAGAAGAATTTGATGAATTAGTAAGAGACTGTTTTCAAGTCCAGATGATATAACTTCTTTCTTGGGTTGAAATCTGTGCTGCAAAAGATCATCAAATATATTATTATAGACAAGTGGCTAAACGGCACTGTGATGTTTTGCAACCATCGCCCTCGCTTCCAAACTTAATGTCTGCTTCCCTTTTCTTGCCTTCTTCGTTCTAAATGTCTCACCGTTTTGGTGCCATTCTTGCTTGCTCAAAATGCAATCCATGGTGCCTAATTGAGAGAAATGTAATAGCATTCCCCAAATGTAATAGCATGGCGCCTAGTTGAGAGAAATGCAGTCCCTGGCGCCTAGCAAGTCCTTTCAGTCGTAATCTGATTTTTGGTTCAAGCCTTTCTGCTAGTATTACCTACCAGGCGCGGATGCAGGACAAACTTGAGCATTTTTGCTCTTAGCTGTCCAAGTTCAAAATGTATGTGAAAATGTCTGCAAGTTGTACATTTTGGCACAGGATGTACATACAAGTTTTGTACTATTATAATTTTAGGATGACTAAAGAATGCTACCTTCTGTGTAACTGCTATCAATTTCTGTCCTCTGTAAGAAAATGGGCAAAAGCAAAATTAAGCCATCATTGTGAGATTGATTAATGAAGCGGTCGAGAACATTAGGGAGTTCAATGGTATGTAAGATTGAATTCGGAATGCATGTTTTCTTATCCTCGCCCCGTGATTGAAGATCATGGTACCCTCTGGGCTAACTTTTCTCATTCACAGCAGGGTGTACACCAATCAACATCACTTAATATATCCACAAAAAAATACTAATCAGTTCTGTGTCCAAAGACTTCCCGCTTTCAATGATTGTAACTTTCGGTAAAAAATATTAAGATCTGAAAAACATTTGGGCTTGTCAGAAGAAAAATAATGAGATCCTCATAAAACAACCCAAAATATGAAAGAAAGAAACGGACCATGTGGGCTGAAAAGACTTAGATTTTGAATTAGGTCATCCGTACAGCATTTGGATAAGCCCTTGGGAACGTATTTTCCCAACATATTTTTTTTGGGTATAAAAGCAGCCGCCTGAAGAACAGAGTCCCAGAGATTGTATCATCATCATCTTTAGTTTAAGAATGAGGCACAGTTCCGGCGCCGGGGAGAGGAAAATGGGAGTTTCTTGAGGGTTGTTTTGCCCCTCTTCCTGCGTCACTGTGCCGATGATCTCATCACAAAAGGACCCCGTCTTTGAAAACAAACCCCGACTGAAACACAACATCTTCTTCTTCTTCTCCTCCTCATCTTTGTAAACAGACGAGGCCGTGATGAACAAATATACCTTTTGTTTTCGAAAGAAAACCAGACATTTAGAGCTAAGTATCATATCTTGGTAGGGCAGCTCAGAAGGGTCTCTTACAGAGTGCCCTCTGTTTGCTTGCAACCATGGTGATTAGCCCAATTTTTTTCCAATGTCTGATAAAAGGCGAATCTGAGCCTCGATTTAATGTTGGAAAAAAAAAAACTGGTGGGTTTCGAAAGTTTCTCAGAAAGAAGAAAGAGGCAGCAGTGGAGTTTTGGGATTTTCTTTGGGTGGTTGCCCCTCCCTGTTTCGCCCATGATTTCACTCTTTCTTTTACAGAAAACGAAAAAAAAAAAAGAAAAAAGTTCCCAACAGCCCTTTGAACTTTGAACTTCAAAGTTGTATTCTTTTTTGTGGTGGTGGTGGTGGTGGTAGTGATTTGGATCGATTCATTGATTGTTTGGTTTGTGATTTGGATTTTGATTGTTTTGGTTTCTTTCACTGGAAAAACGGGCTGTGATGATGGTTCTTTTGGAAGCGTTCTTTCTGAGCAAATAAAGATCAGGCATTTGAGACCCTCCGGACCCTGTACCTTGGCAGGGCAAATCCAGAGGGCATTTGAAGAAGACAACTTTGGTTGTTTTTTTCTTTGAATGCAACTGTTGATATTGCAGCCATGGCTTGGTCCGTTGTCTCTGTCTGTTTTTCAAACAAACAGATCTGAGCCTCACACCTTTCCATTTCGTTTTGGGTTTAAATTTTCTTTGTTAGTCAATCTATATTGTTTCGTATTGCTGCAATTTCCTGAATGTAAACATTGGTTAAAGACGCATGGTCAGAAGCTGATTTTGCCCATTCAACCCAATGTGTTTAAAGACCCTTTCTTTGTTGGTTCTGGTTGTTTGATGAACATATCAATGTAATCTGTGTATAGATTAATAACTTTTCCAAAACTTCTGGTCTTTCTCTATGGATTTGGAACTAAAATTTGCTTACTGGCCAAAAGGGTCCGAGAAATAAATGAACACAGAGATTGAAGGACTGTGTTTATCTCCAAAGATGCAGTTCATTTGAGTTACCAAGCTGCTAGAAAGATCAGTTCCTGGATTAAGGCTACAAATGAAACCTCTAAACCATCTAATTCCAACCAGTCAATTTCTATGCAATCTTTGATTATCCGTAGCGTGTAATACTATGGTTTTGCTTTTAGTTTACAGTTCATCATCGTTGTCATCACTGTCTTCGTGTTAAAATCTCCACTTTCCACAGGCCCTGACTGCAATTTCTTAAGCATTCTTGGCAAACTGTTATATTGTCATAAGTCCCCTGTTTCGATAGCAATCTACTTTCAACTGGGTAATTTGAACAAACAACTCAAATCGATTTAGTCATCCTCATTCCTCAACCTGCAAGCATGAAGTATTCAACACAATCATCAAAAGATACTTTTAAAAATTTCATTTACATTTAGGAAAGAAGCTCATATTTAAGCTAATCAGAGTCCCGGGCAGTTAAAACCTTTGCATAAAGAATTTTTAAATTGCGCTCCCGAATTGTCTTTATTCTGCTTCACACCTTAAAAATGACCTCCAGAGATTGCATTTTTGCGTTCTGATTGTACGCATTGATTACTAATTCAAGCTGCAATTTTTGTTCTCATTGTTAAACCTTACCGTCCTCTATACTTTTTTAAAACGATTGTATTATTGAAAATTTCACTTTTGATACAATTTGTGCTAAAAAAAAAAAAAATTCAAAGGAGACAATCATATTTAGACGGAGAGGACAGAGTATCAACTATGTTAGATTTATACGCTAGCTTTTGTAAAAGTATATTGTATTCATAATGTAACACGGTTGATACGCGAGATATCTCATTTAAGCACATATAGTTTTTAATTTAATTTTTTCCCAACCAACCAATCCTCGCGACTTCAGGAGGAAGAGTCTAATCATAGACATTCATAGTTATTAAGTTGTAAAAGGTTCCAAAGGAAAAAAAAAGAAGGTTTCTAACCATTTTACGTTATGAAATGTATGCACATAGACTTTGCTATAAATGCGATAAATGTGTGGGAGCCTTTTAATAGTGAATTATTACCTCGTATTTTTCTTCTACAATTTCTCAAGCTCACCCTCTACCCTTTGTTATTTTTTTTTATTTTCTTCTCCTTTTTTTTCTTCTTATGTTTCTTTCGTGAAACTCAAGGGAAAAAAACGATTTTTTTTTTCTTCCTTCTTCGGTCCCAGGATTCAAGTAAGTTCTTCACCTTTTTCGTGATTCATATTCTTATTGAACACTTGAATTAGTTTTGATTTTACGTTTAAGTATTACTTTTCCATGCGAATTCATTTACGTTATATGTGCAAACATTTAATGAATGTAATTAAAGAAAACATTGAAGCTAAGAAGGCGAATGCATTAAAAACTTTGCTTCTGCAAAGAGGATTTTAAAATTATAAGGTGATGTTGCATTTAAATCAAAGCCAAAGGAACCATCCTAGAATCCTGTCTTTTTTTTTTTTTTTGCTCAAACATTAACATGCATTACATCAACAATGAACATAACTTAATTAGGTGTTCAATCTACACAAATAAGGAGGAAAAAAAACAAGAAAAAGAAAAAGAAGAGAAAACAAAGAAATTCTGTGTGAAACAACATTGTGAAATCTTGAGCATACCTAATTCCTCTGCATGGGCTGTTCTGTTAATGTGTATGCTCAAATATCTCTTCCCTTGAATCTTTATTTTGGCTTGTAATATGTTTGTTTCAATCTGCATGATTTCACGAACATACATATACTCATGATTTTGCAATCTCTGATTGGTTGGGAAATTGACATTGAAGACAGGATAGGAAGAAGAAAATGATCAGGCAATTGCTTCTGTACTTCTTATTGATCCAAATAACCCTTGTAGCTGCAAGGGGAAAGGGCCGAGGAGGAGGAGGAGGAGGTGGCGGAGGAGGAGGAATTCCACCTCCCACCAAAAAATGGCTGACTTTAAGTGGTATAATTTCAAGCTACAATTCCGCATTTCTTCAAGAAGTTAGATAACTGATGAAAAAGGAAATGCTGAAATGTTGAAACCCTTTTTTTGGGATTCTGTTTGAATCTTTTTCTAGGTGCTGAGCCAAAGGTAGTAGCCAGGGGAGGATTCTCTGGAGTTGTGCCGGAGTCCAGTGAGGTTGCTTATAATTTGGCGGTGCAAACCGCCTCGGATTCTACTATTTTGCTGTGTGATCTCCAATTCACCAAGGATCTTCAAGCGTTTTGCCTGTCTAGTGTGAACCTTGAAAATGCAACCACCATTACCCAAAGTTTCCCAGACGTAAAACCGAAGACCTACAATTTGAATGGAAAAGATGTAACAGGATACTTTGGGGTGGATTTTACATTGGACGACCTCCAGAAGAATGTAGCATGTAAGGTTTTCGAAACCATGAATCAGATTGTTACACTCATACCTCAGATTGTGGATCATTAAAGTGCTGCATTCATTCAAATGTGTAATGTGTTATTATTAATTTTTTAGTCATTCCTAATGTTTCAACTGGTTTCATTGCAGTGGTGCAAAGTATTTTCTCTAGATCACCAAGTTTCGATGGCGCATTTCTTTTGTATGCGCCATATGAACTCACCACTGTGAAGGGTTCTCTGAGTCTGTGGCTAAATGTTGAGGTATCTTTCTAAGCCTGATCACTTTAGGAATTACGCCTTTCATTTCGAGTGCATATTGGCTCCATTGGAAGCTTTGTTCTTGGTACATTCTCTATTGATGATTCGGGCGAATTAGTGATTATTATTATTTTTTTTTTGGTTACATTTGGTGACAGTATCCTAGCTTCTATGATGGATTGAAAATCAGCCCATCTTCGTATGTTCTAGACACACTCCCAGACTTGGCTCCTTCAGCCATTTCATCACCTGAGGTTGCATTCTTGAAGGCCGTATCAACAACGGTGGACAAAGCCCTGACTAAGATCTATCTCAAGGTCACAAACTTGACAGATATTGAACCGACCACTAAACAAACTTACGCCGCGCTTTTGAAGGATGTCAAGACAATCAAGACATATGCATCAGGAGTTGTTCTCCCAAAAGATAGCATATGGCCTGTTAATGCGGCAAGGATTTTGCAGCCGGCTACCAGTTTGGTAACCGATCTCCACAAAGAAGGTCTTGAAGTGTTTGCTTCTGGCTTCGCAAATGATAACTTCTTGAGCTACAATTATAGCTATGATCCCACCAGGGAATATTTGCAGTTTGTAGACAATTCTCAGTTTTCAGTTGATGGGGTCATAACAGATTTCCCTGCCACTGGAGCAGAGGCGATTGGTGAGATTGACGTTCTTCTGATCTTCTTTCCTTGAATATTCACTCATGAGAAACGTCTGTTTTATTGTATTCCTATCTGAAAAATGATCCGTGTAATTGCAGTGTGCTTAGCTCAGAACCAAAATGCTTCCAGAGTAACCAAAAGTAAGAATTCCTGAACTATTTAGGTCTGCTAGATTGCAGTGTCAAGAATGCTGCTATCCTCAAAAGTACCTTGGAGACTGATCTTACTTATTTCTTCTTGCATTGAAGCTTTGATCATAACCCATGATGGTGCTAGTGGAGATTATCCTGGATCCACTGATCTAGCCTACCAGAAGGCAATCGATGATGGTGCTGATATAATTGACTGTTCTGTTCAAATGTCAAAAGATGGAACTGCCTTCTGCTTGCCTTCAGTTGATCTCACAGGAACCACCACTGCGACCTCCCTTTTCTTGGACCGATCCACTAAAATTCCTGAAGTCCAAGAAAAGAATGGAATCTTCTCCTTCGATCTCACATGGAGCGAAATTCAATCGCTAAAGCGTAAGCTTCTGAGATACAATCACCAATTCAGTAAAGTTTAGTGATTTATAGTTCCCGCGTTTTGTTGAAATGTTCTATGTGTCCTTGTTTTCAGCCCAAGTTATGAGTGTTTTTGATGGTGGTCTTGTTCGAAATCCTGAAAACAAGAATGCTGGGAAGTTTGTCACCCTTGCTGAGTTCTTGGATCTTGCTAAGACTAAGGCAGTTCCTGGAGTTCTAATAAATATTCAGGTAAAGATCCATTCTCTCATATAAACTTCTATGAATACTTAAATCATCAATATGGATTACTTATATGACCTAAGACACCTGTTTTTTTTTTTTTTTTTAAACTACAAAATTGTATTGAAAATTGTTTGTTTCTTTCAGAATGCTGCTTACCTAGCATCAAACAAAGGTTTGGACATAGTTGTTGCTGTCACCACTGCCTTGAGCAATGCCACTTTTGATAAGCAGGCGACTCAGAAAGTATTGATTCAGTCTGATGACAGTTCAGTGCTACTGAAGTTCCAGGATGTGAAGAGCTATCAGAAGGTACTCACGATCGATGACGATATAAGTGGTGCAACAAAGCAAACAGCAGATGAGGTAAAAAAATATGCTGATGCAATCCGAGTGTTCAGAAATTCCATTGTTCTGGACTATCCGAGCCCTGTGTTCATGTCATTGGGTTTCAGCAACCTTGTTGATGTTATGCATGCTGACAATATCTCGGTATACGTTGGTGTTCTCAGAAATGAGTACCAAAACTTCTTGTTCGATTACTACGCTGATCCCTATGTTGAACTTGCAACATTGACTCAGAAAGGAGTTGATGGTGTAACAACTGATTATCCTGCCACAGCAAGTGCATACATGAGTAAGTATTTTCATTGGAAAACCATATACTTCCCATGATCTCTCCCAAGAACTCTTAAGGATTTCAGGCCTCATTATCTATATATCTAAGAACAAAACACAGAATTCAGATACCAGATATAAACAAACAACAGAAAACTACTAATGTTAACCTTACAAAGCAAAAACGGATGAGGTTATTTTCAGCACAAATGAATTAACACAATCTCCTGAATATTTGAGAACTGAATTGTTGAACTTTTTAATGCAGAGTCCCCCTGTTCCAACCCGAATGCCAAGGGATTCTCAATATTGCCGATCACTCCAGGCGACATGTTTACCCAACTGGTTACAGCAAAACCTCCAGAAGCTGCACCACCTGTACCTCTCCTTGACACTGCAGATATCGTCGATCCGCCACTACCACCAGTCACCAAGATTACAGATACTGCAACTCCTGGATCCCCTTCATCGGGCTCCAACAGCAGCAATAGCTCCCTTCCTGCTGAAGCACCAAAATCTTCGAGCTCAACCATTGCTAGCAACACAATCTTTACCATCTCAGTAATGGCAGTAGTACTTGCTCTTCTAGGTAGCAGTATCAAATATTAGACCTGAAGCTAAACGCATTTTGTACAATGCCATTCGTTTCCTCTATGTAATATTATACATACATTTGAGTACTACTAAAAAGATCTGATTTACATGTAGAAACAACTTCACTCGCACCTTTAACTGCAAAACAATTCTGCGGATGTATGTATCAGTTTTCAAAGTTATACATTATCTGAGTAGAGTTGTAAAGGTTGGTTCATCCACTATAATTCCAAAACATATTCAAGCAAGTTATCTTCTTTTCAGCATATCAACAAACTATAATTCCAGAAAGTTATCAAACTACTGTGAATTTTTAGGTTTTTTTTTTTTAATAAAATTTATTACAGGGTAATTTTCTATTGGTTCAAATACTGTAATTACAACTAGCAGCCTAAGCCATATGTCTATATCCAGCAATAAAATAAAAAATTATCGCGGGAAATATCCGCGAAAAATCTCAGTACTTGACCTGTTGGAAGCAGAGGTTTCAGTCTAGTGATAGCAGAACAAACAGCTGACTTTTTTTTTTTTTTTTTTAACCTTTCCATAATGAATCATAACTTAAGATGGTAAACATCAAAAAAGTGATCTGCAAGCTTGGTACATCTCTTACATTGTAACAGTAGTTAAGGTTAAAGATGGCTTTATTCTTAGGAAAGGAAGATATTCCAAAACCTTCCCCACAAAATGAGGCCAAGAATCACATTTTTTCTTTCCTCCCATCAAACCTTAAACAACTTCCTTTCAATTTTGCCCTTTTTCAACAGCTCCAACATTCATCATAATAAAATCCTGCAAAGATCAAAAAATCCCTCTTCACATCTTCTTCTTCTTTTCACATTTCTTCCAGAATTAATGTTGTATCAATGCCTAAACGACCTCCCGAACAGCACACCGGCTTCTTAGTATGGTGTACAGCTGTGATCTGCGCCATCTTAACCGTGGCAGTCATCATCGCCGGCATCATTGTGTTCATCGGATACATAGCAATCAGGCCTAAAGTGCCTCAGATAAGCGTCACACAGGCTCAACTCGACGTGTTCGAGTATGATCAAGCCGGAATCCTTGTGGTGAAGGTCACCATTTTCATCAGTGCGGAGAATGACAATGCCAAAGCTGATGCAAGCTTTTATAACACGAGGTTCGTTTTAGGATTTCAAGGCATAACGTTGGCGTATTTGCACGCTGATCCCTTTGATGTGAGCAGAAACAACTCGCTGAAACTGAAGTACGAAGTTGAGTCTTCACCAATTCCATTAGGCCCCGCAGAACAGAATGATGTGTACTTTTCTCTGCTTCGAAATGCTATTTATTTTGATCTCAAGGGAAATACAAGAACAAGGTGGAGAATTGGTTTTTTGGGTTCAGTTAAGTTCTCATTGAGTCTTGATTGTCAACTTCGGTTTTCTAGGATTGGAGACGTGATTTATCCAAAGTGTAGCACCAAGTCTAAATAAAACAGATTAGCAATTGGCACACCGATTGTGACTTATGCGCTCATTTTAAAAGTCGAAAGTTTAAACCAACATTAGTTAAAAAAAACAATGTAGCTTCTGCTTTTCATTACTCCCAAGTCCTCATTTTGACTTCTAATCTTAGGCATAAATTCATTTATATTTCATTGTTCATTTTCTTTGCTATTGTAATTTGAGGATTTGGCGAAATGAGAATGGGAAATCTTTAGATGGCCTATTTATTTTGTCACATGCAATAAAAATTATAATGCATCAAACGAAAAAAAAAAATAAATAAACACACACACACACAATAGTGATACCTTTTATTGGACGGTGGAATAGTTTGAAGAGCACGCCAAGCAACTCTTTATATTTGGTTTTTCGAATATTTTTGCCTTGAGAGTTAGAGATCTATGGGAATAATCACCCCAATCACCCTCTAACTTTAGTTTATGTTTGGATTTAGTCTTTAAAGTTACAAAAGTTTCAATTTTGTCCCCAACAAAGATAATTTAGTTTTAATTAGTCCAATTATTAATGCTATTACTACTAAGAAAAACCCGAGCTCTCACAAGCCATGCACACTCTAGAGTCTAAACCGAGGCATCTTTTTACATTTTTCATTGATTGTTATTTTCATAATGAATTGTTATATACTACTCATAAAAATAGTTCACACTGTAAGTTAAAAATTATACCGAATAATTTATTATTATTATTATTTTTTTTGGTATGGTATTGGAAGTAAGATTTATCGAATACATCACATGCACTAATACATTACGTATGTTTTCTCTAAACATCCAACCTTTAATCCTAAACCCAATTTGTTTTGAAAGATAAATCTCATTTAGACACGAAGAATATAAAATTAATAGTCTTTAAAAGAAAATTCTAGAATAACCCATTACACATCAGTACTGTTTACCAAAACAAAAGGTCTACATTTCTCCACGTCTTCAAAATCCTATATATACATGAACCCTCCTCCTTGACGCCTTATCAGTTATCACAACAAAAAAATCTTTAACCCAAAATCCCTTCTTAAACCCTTAGCTGATAATCATTTTCAGAGCCAAAAAAAAGAAAAAGAAAAATGGCTTCCAAGAAAGAAATGGAAGTGGTGAAAGGTCTGGACTTGAAGAGGTATATGGGTAGATGGTATGAAATTGCTTCGTTCCCATCAAGGTTTCAACCCAAGGATGGAGTTAACACGAGGGCCACCTATACTTTGAAGGATGATGGCACCGTTCATGTTCTGAACGAGACTTGGTCCGGCGGCAAGAGGAGTTCCATCGAAGGAACTGCGTATAAGGCCGACCCGAAATCAGATGAGGCCAAACTGAAAGTGAAATTCTATGTCCCGCCTTTCTTGCCTATCATCCCTGTTGTGGGTGATTACTGGGTTCTCTACATCGATGATGAATATCAGTATGCTTTGATTGGCCAGCCTAGCAGGAGTTATCTCTGGGTATGTTTTTTTTTTTTTTTCGTAGACATGCATACACAGAGAATGGCTCTTTTGGTGTTTCCGGCCTTATTTGTCCATTTTGATGCTGAACTGTTGTTTCTGCCTATTGGGATTGCTTGCCCTGTTGTGGAAAACTGTATTTTGTTTTGCCGTTTGGATGAAACTTATCGATTATTAATTACTCATGGAGTTCTTTTTCTGCAATTTGTTGAGGAAGCTTATGTTAGGCTTGTGGTAGATGGGTTAGTTCGAGAAGCCAACTTTTTTAGATGCTTTTGCCAATATCAGTTATTGCTGCTATTTTCTGATGATTCAATCAATTTCTGACAATATTGAGCTGATGACCAACTACAGATCTCAAAGATATGCTTATGTAGTTTTTCCCGTCGACTTTAAATACCGTTTAGCAGTTTTGAAGTTGTTTTCGACTTATGAAATGATAAGGGGAATTGATTCGTGTGAGGTGGCAGGAAGAATTGTGATTACAGCACTAAGCTAGATACTGTATGTGGGGTTTTTGATTGCTTGACGAATAATCGTTGCCGGATTTTTTTATCATGGCTCTTTGATTGTTTTTTCCAGGTCCATCACTAGGAACACGAAAATTCTAGGAAGAATGTTGATGAGTTTTTGTAGAATTTAGATTTATACGTCCATACTGGATGTTGATGAGTTATTGCAGAATTTAGAGTTATATGCCCATACTTCTGTGCATTAACGTTGGCTAGTAGTCGTCATTCAGAGAATGAATTTTAATTATTATTGCTACTTCTTTCTTGGTTCCATTCTGAGTCTCTAATGGAGCGTTTATTGCTGTCGGTGTTCAGATATTGTGCAGGTCTCCTAGTATGGATGAGGAGGTATACAACATGCTTGTTCAGAAGGCAACAGAAGAAGGCTATGATGTGAGCAAGCTCCACAAGACACCCCAGGCTGATCCTCCCCCAGAAGGTGAAGAAGGTCCAAAAGATACCAAAGGAATTTGGTGGCTCAAATCTATCTTTGGAAAGTAGTGAAATCACAGCAACAGATCATGGTGGCCCTGGAGCCATAGTGGAAATTTGGAGAAAAAATTACTAGTACTAATCATTATGTTATGGTAGTCTCGTTGTGAAAAGTAGTGATCTTTGATGAGGATTGCCTTACTGTAAAAAAGTTTATTATCTGTTGTGTTGTTTGAATTTGATATGAATATCCATCGATCTTGTTTAATTTCTAGCCCTTAAGTTACTCTTGCGTTGCATCGAAGTTAAACTGTTATTCCCCTATATGAAACTGCAACGTGGGAGGAGGCACGTTGGGTCTCTTTTCATCAATCGCTTTGTTTCAAATTGTTTGTGCATCTCACATATCTATGGCATCCACAGATATGTAGTGCATTATATTTCCAGATTAGGATTGTGATATTTCCTTCTGCCTCTCACAATGGTCTATTGCATGTTCCGTCTGAAATGCTTTTTGGATTGGCGTTAATCTCTTGGTAATAGTAGCAGCAACAAGCAACAATCACTAAATTTTGGGAACGGGGGTAGCAACATCCAACGTGTTGTTGCTCGTATGAAGGCAAACTATCTTGTCGGTGAACCATTAAGAAAGGCCAAGGTTGGTTCCAGTGACCAAGTACTGGCCGAATGTGATGGTTTTCCAATGTCCATAAGAACGGGCAATGAATGTATCACAAGCGTATTGGACTTGAGAATGACCTGTGGAAGTCTGATATCACCAGCATTTTTTTAGCTGCTTGATTTCAACATACATTATGTTCGGTAGTGATCAATTTCAACACTGCTTGATTTCAACATAATTTGTTCTGTAGTGATCCATTTCAACATGTTGCTTGCATCCACACTAAGGCCATTCTAGTATCTGCGAGAAGGCCTGTTGGTGTTACAATTGTCAGCGCTAACGATTTGATTCCAACTTATCGCTTCGGATGCCTCCTCCGGTGGTTTCTTTTAATCATTGAGAGGGATAATGAAAACCTTATCAATATTCTTGAAGAGAGTATCATGGTCTCTTGTCAATGCTGGTGCGCCCACAAAATGGGGCCTCTTAGTCTTTCGAAGCTTTATCATTAATATCCTTGTAGCCTGGAACATTGTCCACTAGCAGTAACAGAGCGACAGGTTTCTTCACTTTTGGTGTTTTGCGGAGGTATTAGGGACTAGGAAATCAGTCTGGACCAAGCATCAACACTTATCCTCTAAGGCTCTAACCCAAAAATTGATGTCTCAGTATAGCGGTTCTCCTTCCACGATTTGACAATTTAGAAGTGTACACACCATTGCACCAAAGGGTCCCTCGTTTTGTGACCGCGTTTGGCAAGGTTTGAAGCATGGGGAAAAACCGTATGTCTGCCCCAAAAAGTCTCGTCTATTGTACTGACTTAGTTCGTCAAATGTGTCTCGTTCTTTTCGTAAACCGGAAGTGCCTACCTAACGGGTTTGTAGACATAGTTAGCTAGCTATGAAACGAATCCTAGGGAAAGAATCGAGAGTTAAGTATTTGCAAGGACTCAAATGCGGAGTTGATCATACATGAAGATGGTTTACAGGACAGTGCATCAAAAGAAGTAAAGAACTGTTCCCAAAAGTTTGATCAACACATGAAGATGTTCAATCCAATCAAGAAAGTAAAACATGTGAAATTCTATAATTAGTATTAACCAAAACGAGTATGAATATTTTGTATTTAACACATGGACACCATAGAATTGTACCATCTTATTAACCAAAAAAATAAACAAGTGTTTACCATCACCAGAAATAAGAAAACTTCATTTCACACCCGCAGATTTTAAGACGACCAATATCATTAGGACAAATAGTTAATTATGTACATCAAACAACAGAATTAACGCGGCTGTGAACATTCAAATAGATCAAACATAATACACAGTTGTCACAATTACAAAAGAAGACACCTGCCATAGGTCTCTTAAGTTATCCAATTCAACAAATGAAATTCAAAATCCGATAAACGAAGTTCCAAATATTGTATTCTAGTAGATCCATAGACATCAGGTACCCATCAAATCCACAGATCAACAGCTCCAATTTGCACCAGAAAATTTACAGTATGGTACAACATTGATTGGTTTTCTTTGCCTGCTTGTAAAACATCTGTTGCAACAATCCAAGAGTAAGCTAATGTTCCAGGAGGCGAAATATAAAAAAGATGCTGAAATCTCTAGCAATGATCAGAGAAGTAAGGATCAACTAACGACCAATTTAACTACGTTAGAACAAGAAAAGATAATGGCACGGAAATACTGCATTATTCATCTACTCAAAAGGTTGCTTTGAATCTCAAACAAATTGCAGCATTCCCTACCCCCCTTATTTATTCATTCACATCAAACACAAGCTTCGCATAAAAGTAGCACCTATTCCTCCAACCCTTCCCTCACCTAAAACCATTGGCCTTCTTTCGAAAAACACCTCAACAAAAACTTATCCAGATTGAGGCCACATTCAAAAGCAATAGATGCAAGATTTCCAAGGGACTATTACACAAATTCGGACACATGTAAAGATATGTTTTTCAAGTTTTTGTCAGTTCCATCTATCCAGAAGAAAAAAAGTTATCAGAACCAAAACTTGAAACAACTTAAAAGCATTATGAAACATAATTCATAAGTTCATAACAACAAAAACCATTCCATTCAGACTAGCTAACTAATTTCGCCAATGGGAAGTTCATCAATGCATAACTTACCTGTGAAGCTGTACTAAGATCTGAACTCTTCTCAACCAAACTGTCCAGCTTCTCACCTCGGGCAAGAACACTGTCAATGGTCTTGTGCTGCATCAAAGGAAGGAAAGATATGAGATACCAAAGGGTAGAGTGAGGTTGAAAAAAAAGGAACCAAAAGGATTAAGTCTGCAAACCATTCACAAAAATGCTCAGGAAAACAGTTCAGTCAATATAACCAGAATAAACACCTTCAACCCAGAAGAGAATGTGAACAACCTTTGTATGACGATATAAGATAGATGTGGATTCATGATTAGTATTTATTAATAATCAAGCCTATAACACTGGAAATGCAACTGTCTTCGGTAGATCTCAACATCTCAAGGCAGGGAGGAGGGGGAACTTTTAGTAACTTGATTGGTCTACTTGTTTCACATTGAACCCAGTGAAGACATTCCCTAAATATACATTAATTCATCAAACACCTAGAGTCATTCACAGATGAAGTTCCAAACACGAGCCAGAAAGAAATTGACAACTGTTGAGTAATTTGAGATGCCAGACAATAACAAGGAAAATTATTTGAAGTTTAGTAATGCATGATAATTATCAATAAGTAACGAAACCATCGCCAAGAATGATGCCACTGAATAAGGATCCAATAGACTACCATAAAGAACAGAGCAAACATGAATCGGGTACAAATCTCCAGAGATAGAAGGGTAAAATCTAATACCCACTAGAGCATAGAAGACCCAAAAGACTACAGTAATTCATCAAACACCTAGAGACATTCACAGATGAAGTTCCAAACACGAGCCAGAAAGAAATTGACAACTGTTGAGTAATTTGAAATGCCAGACAATAACAAGGAAAATTATTTGAAGTTTAGTAATGCATGATAATTGTCAATAAGTATCGAAACCATCGCCAAGAATGATGCCACTGAATAAGGATCCAATAGACTACCATAAAGAACAGAGCAAACATGAATCAGGTACAAATCTCCAGAGATAGAAGGGTAAAATCTAATACCCACTAGAGCATAGAAGACCCAAAAGACTACAGTAATTCTTCACTCCCAAATCAGTCGATCAACAGGCAAAGCACATAAGAAATGATATGATATCCAAGCTAACCAATGAACTTTGTACATATCGGCATACAAACCAAATCCTCAAACCACAAGACATGACATCTACTAAAAAGGAATTATCAAGTTCGAACAGGAAGCTTACAAGAATGATTTTGGTCTCATCCAATTCCCTCTGAATTCTCAACAGTTTGTCAGCTTCAGCAGGGTCCTAAAGAGTCAAGTCAAAAAACCAGAAAATATGTTAAAAGAGGAGAGAGTACCAGTTGAACAGATGATTTGCTACATGAATATGCACTTACAAAAATGAACACACTGCAAATCTAATGCTACATAAATATATAAGTTTCATTTTACTTGCCTGGAACTTGGCAAGGGCCTCAGTAAGATAAGGCCATGGTTGAGTATTATCAGCTTGTGCAGATTTCCACGAATCACCAAACACTTTTTGGTACTCATCTAAGACCTGAATCATTCATTCACCAATTGTAAAACGGATCCCTAACTTCATTACCAGTACAGGTTGCATAAAGAAATCTGACCTGATTTAATAGGGAAAATGCACTTCGAACTGGATAGTGATCATCCATATATCCCAACGCACACAAGCCATTTCGATTGTAAGCATGCACCATGTACTCTGGCAGAGAAACAAAAGAGAAACCTCAACTTCAAGCAATCTAAGTTAATATCCCCATAAAATGTGATACCCCTTCGACACATTGCCCTTGGAAAACCAAGGAAGCTAAGAGCTCATGAACTTAATAGTGAATAACCAACCAAACATCTGGGAGTAACTTTTACTCGAATGCAATTGATCAAAAGATAAGAAGTTGGACGTGCATGGACAGCAGTTGAGCAGAAGAATACTCAACAACTATGCTTTTAAGAACGTACATGATTTGTGCATTTCCTAGCACTACTCTTTCAATCACAATCGTCAGTCCACACCACCGATCAGAATTGAAGATATCAAAACCCGAATTTAAGCCATCCCTAGGTTTGCTAACAGTTCTTAAGATCTAATCTATCTAGACTTAGTTTAGTGAGTAAAAAACGATATTCAAAAACAAGAATCAACCTTTCTCGTGAACAACACTTTACCTTTCTTGAATTATACAATTGTCAGTTATTAAAGAATTGAGAGTATGGATTGACTATAAAACCAATCCCATTGACAAGATAACAAACACACCCACTCAACCAAATGTTAAAATTCAGTCAAATAGTGAAATCAACCGATACATTTACGGCAATATGTATAAACCCCCATCCTAGGATGCAAGAACTCTCCACTCTGGAAAACCTAACTTCAATAGGTATAAACCACACCATCACAATAATTAATTGTCCTTCCAATAACATTCAGTCTCATCATTTTCTAATTCATCAGTCCCTATCATTTTAGCCAAAAAAAAATAGAAACAAAAAATTCCAAAAGATTCTCTTACGAAACAGCAACTGAGATTACGAAAAATTTAGTCTATCGTGTTATATAGTTACAAACTGTACTCAAATTCGAGCCCCCAATTATAGGAGGGGAAACTGAAAGAGATCAACAGATATCCATAATCCAAAATTATTTATCCGTTCCAAATTATGAACTAGGGTAATCAATCTTCCCAAATCGAAGACAGAGCTAAACAAAACATACCTTGCTCCTGGACGGACTGACGCTGGCCAGGCGGGGTCCGACCGGCGAAGGTCCGACCAAAGAAGACGATGAATTCCTTAACGGTGGATCTCTGGAAATACCCGAATTGGCTAACGTCGGATGCGTTGGACAAAATCACCGGCTCCTTAGACCCGTCCGGAAAGACTCTCAACACCAACAACGCGGTGATCTTCATACTCGATTTCTCACCGGGATCTAACCCTTCCCACCGGAAAACAGCTAATTCGTATAACCTAATTGAGATTCTCCGCGTATTTCAGGAAAAACACGGCCACAGAATAGGAATTAAATAAGAGTTATTCGATTAAATTTATTCTTTTGGAATTGGAGTCGTTCGTTTCAACTTCTTTCAAACTTCGGAACGAAGGAAATAATAAAAAGGAAAGCTTTTCTTTGATCGATTCCGAGCTTTTTGTTTCACGTACATCACAGTTTCGAATAATTATTCTTTTTCTTTTTTTTTTCTAATGCAATAAATTATTAATAATAATTTACTTGTAATCCTCTGAGTTTGAATATATTACAAAATTGTGCGTTTAATTTGTGAAACAAAATTTAATACCCCTGGCTAGTAAAAGTACAAAATTTTGAAACTGGAGGAAATATGTGAATTGTTTCAACTAGTATTATTATAAAAGTTCAAAACTATATGTATGTAACTTTGCAAAATTATTGATAAAAAAACTTTAGAACCTTTATTAGTGGCCCCTTTTAAAAATTAATGTACAATACTAATGATTAATGTAATCACCTTACATTTTCCATGATTTTACATTTCTTTTTTTCTTTTTGTACTAATAACACAATGGTAAATTGCTTTCTTTTGAATATCTAAAATTACAAATTTTTCATCCACGCACTTGAACCCCCCCCTTTCTTTTTGTGTGAGACTATCAAATTATCAAAACGATTTCAATGTAAATCGCTATCTATTCCTTATATGAACTCAAAATTCAATTCAACCATTACATAATTCATAACGTTTTTGATAGAAAATCAAACGATAACCTGGTAATAGATTGAAAAACTCCATTGAAAAATATCCAAGATCGATCCAACCGAAGTTATGAAGGAATTGATAAGGTGGAAATTGAAAGAAATAAATAACATTATTTTTTACTTGTTATTGACGAGTTGGGTTAGATAATACTAAAAAATATTAACATAGATGATACTTTAAAAAAAATTGAGTTAGATGATCGTCCATTTCACACTTCATATAATCCAACTAAACCCTTGGATTATCTCAGTCTTTGATTTCTTCACGCTAACTTACTAGATGAATTTATTTTATTTATATTTGAAAATAGAGGAAGAAAGATCTGGTTGGTTGTGTACATTTGAGGGCAAATGGTGGGAAGAGTCCAATTTCATGGGAATTTTCGTAAATTATGTGAGAACGGTTGGGATTTTGATGGGCTGAGACTGAAAGCATTAGGAAAGAGGTTTATGATTGATGAGAATAAATGAATAATACTAGTAATAAAAAATGAAGGCCAAGAGATAGTCAAATTCAGCAAACAGGTGGGATTTGTGGGAATGGGAATCGAATATATATAATTGAAAGCCAGCCGACACAAAACGATTCGAATTCGTGATCTAGCTAGTTTGTTCTTCCACCTTCTGAGGGTGACATTTTTTTATTTTCTTTTTTCTATTTTTCATAATATAGTTAAGGCTTTGTTTGTTTCATTTTTTTTATGGTTTTTTTAAATTAAAATATTAATAACGGTTCCATTCCAGTATACTTTTTTACATTTGTAATACACTTTTTTACATTCTCAATAAAAAAAATACCTAAAAACACACACTAAACAAATGAAACAAACATACCTTAAGTGTTTGTGCAAATTTTGTTTTACTGTCACGTATGATTCTCAAGGATTCAAGCGAATTTGAGTACGATTTTCATCCATATAATAAAAAGTAACTTTAGATTATGACAATTTGAATAATTCAATGAACCGCATTATATGTGCATAAATTGATCTAAGAACACAACAGATGCACTGTTACTCTTTTAGTTTTCTTATTAGTTTTCTTTTGAATAATGCCTTTGCACTTTGCATTACCTCATTTTGCTTGCACTTTGCATAGTCTCTTAGCCTAATACAAAACCAAATGAGTTGGCAAATGTTGGGCTCGACGAACCCTAAAATTCTCATGTTTACTTTAATAAATATCCAATCATTTTAGGATGGATGAAATATGATATAACAACGATTTAATACGACTCTTCAATCTTAATTGATCATGCTTTATTATCCTATTATGGCAGAAGGTCCCAAAAGAAAAGTACCTCAGAACCCTCCAAAAAATTCCTCAACACTTCTGAACAAAAAACCAGCATAAAAGTCACAAGAATGAATGGACCACTCTCAAAAACCAAGTATATATTAATATCTTTTATAAACCATGAAGCTCAATCAGATTTTATTCACTCTTGATACCTTTTTATCCTTAAAGCTCAAGGCAAAATAATATGGCTTTATCTTCATTCATTTTGTGGTTACTGTTCTTGGCTGCTGCACCATTGGCAGTTGTAGAATCAATACCAATTTATGTTCCGGGATCATATAAATCCTCATTAAAGAAAGATGTGAAGAATGCTAAGCCAAAATTACCTTATATAACCCAATATTTCCCTCAAATTTTAGACCATTTCACATTCCAACCTACAAGCTACAAAACCTTTTATCAGAAGTATCTCATCAACAGCCAGCATTGGCATAAAGGAGGCCCTATATTTGTTTACACTGGCAATGAAGGAGACATTGAATGGTTTGCTTCAAACACTGGTTTCATGCTTGATATTGCTCCAAAGTTTCAAGCTCTCCTTGTCTTCATTGAAGTAAATATACAGCTCTTTCTGCTAGCTAAGAAGCGTTTGTTTTTTGCACATTTGGGTTCTCTTAATGATTGAAAATGGGATTTGTTTCTTTTGTTTGATAATGTTTACAGCATAGGTTTTATGGAGAATCTTTGCCATTTCCAGAGGAAAAACTCAAGTCAGCTAAGACATTGGGATACTTGAGTTCACAGCAAGCATTGGCAGATTATGCAACGTTGATAACAAGTTTGAAGAAGAATCTCTCTTCTGAGGCATCTCCTGTTGTGGTTTTTGGTGGCTCTTATGGAGGAAGTAAGTTCAAAGTACAAGTTGCAGGCCATCTTTTCAATTAGCGTATCAGACTATTCTTTCCGTCCCAAAATAAAAGTTATGTTTGTTATGCTAAAATAAATCTTAACTAATAAAGAACTCTTATTTTTTATGGGAAAAAAAATACTATTAGATATTTAGATGTAGTTGATCATAGATGACATGAGAATGATTCCTTACTGCTTTTGTGCATGTGAATCCACTTGTCTGGACTAGAGAAAAGATTACACTGTTCCTACCTGCAGCCATGCCAGTTCACTGTGAACTTTGTCTTACTAATGGCAATAATTTCAATGCCTTTTGTGAGTAGCTGGTCTTTTTACAAAAGCTTATCTCTTTAAGAATTGATGAGAAACATACAAGGATTAATTACATATAATATCTTTTCCTAGTTTTCTACATTTTACATATGATTGAAGGAGTACTAACTAATATTCTCCCATTAATCAAATGCACATTGGAGGAGGTGCATGGCGCTTAAGTCGTGTTTCGTGTTCGTAAAATTAAGAGTGTAAATATGTATATTTTTTTATGGAAATGAAACTAAAAGTTTAGAGGTTTTAATTCTTTTATAATTTTTGTAGTACTTGTTTTTCTTCCTTGAGTTAAATTAATATCGTGTTATCATGTTGTGTCACAAGTTGCCAACCTAATATACTAATCATTTTTCACATTGTCCTGGTACTTCCAGTGTTGGCCGCTTGGTTTAGACTCAAATATCCACACATTGCGATTGGAGCATTGGCATCTTCAGCTCCTATACTGCAGTTTGATGACATAGTTCCTTGGTCAAGCTTTTATGATGCTGTTTCCCAGGATTTCAAGGTTTAAACCTTATTTTTCCCTAGCAAAATTTAACCAAACGTGAACTTTTAATAAGTGGTCATAAATCTGTAGGAGGCAAGCCTGAATTGTCATGAAGTGATAAAAGGTGCTTGGACAGAGCTGGATGGTTTTGCAAATAAAAAAGGAGGAGTAGCAGAGCTCAGCAAGATCTTCAGAGCTTGCAAGTAAGTCACGAAAAATAATACAAACAGTTTAAAATGTACCAGATGACGAGATCGTGATTGGTGTGACATATTTATAAGGGCTGAATTGTCCCTTTTATGTTGACATTTACTACGAAACTTGGTAATAATTATGTCATTTCACGTGTCGCTGTCTCGTTTCAGTGTATATTTTACCCGTAAGCGATTTAGGAAAACATGATGCGATTACAGGGAAGTTATAATGATTATCTGTTTGATGCTAATCTTCAACTTTTTGATGAAATCTCAGGGAGATTAGTTCTATATATTCAGCTAGAGATTGGTTATGGTCAGCATTTGTGTATACAGCAATGGTAAATTATCCAACTGAAGCCAATTTCATGAAGCCACTACCAGCCTATCCAGTGGAAGAGGTGATTAGTCGTCTTCTTTAAGAAATGTGATTCATCAAAGTACTTCTCCAGATTCTTACAATTAAGGGTCCTTTTTTTTTCCGGGTTAAAGATGTGCAAGATCATCGACAAATCGCCACGTGGAGCCACGAAGCTTAGCAGGGCATTTGCAGCAGCAAGTTTGTACTACAACTACTCAAAGACTGAAAAATGCTTCAAGTTGGAAGGTGATGAAGATGATCATGGCCTTCAAGGTTGGAATTGGCAGGTGTGTTAAAACTGTTACTCTTTACTGAAACTCATTTAACACATTTGTTTGTCCTGTCTCTCTTCACTGAAAATGATCTTCAGGCTTGCACAGAAATGGTGATGCCGATGACATGCTCTAACGAAAGCATGTTTCCACCATTCCCGTTCAGCTACAAGGAGTTTGCTGATGATTGCAAGAAACAGTTTGGAGTAAGGCCTCGGGAACACTGGATCACTACTGAATTTGGTGGCAAGGTAATAAAGCAATGAAGAAAAACAAACTGTTAATTTTCATCTTGGTTTGGTATGAACAATATCATGTTGTTTTCATAGAGGATCAAACAAGTGCTAAAGAGATTCGGTAGTAACATCATATTTTCCAATGGAATGCAAGATCCATGGAGCAGAGGAAGGTAATCAATCAGTTTGGAACACAGAATTATCAGATCATATATGATCATTTTGGAACTCATAATTCTCAGACTCTTTGATCATTTTATTTGTTACCCTTTTCAGTCCCAAACTATATACATTTTCTAAACTTAATGATTGTAAAAAATTTCACGATTTTCCAGTGTGCTGAACAACATTTCGTCCAGCATTGTGGCTTTGGTGACTGAGAAAGGTAACTTCCTAACAACAACAACAACAACTACAGTTTTACTCTTCGTAACCAAGACAAATAGGCATGAACTATAGTCATTTGATGATTGTGCATATGTTCAATTATAGGGGCGCACCATGTTGATTTTAGATCTGCAACGAAAAAGGATCCACATTGGCTGGTAGAGCAAAGGAGGCAAGAAATGGAGATTATCAAGGGCTGGTTACATGAGTACTTCATGGATAACTCACAGGACTAAAGAGATTCATGACCAAGGCATATATATATATATATATGTGTGTGTGTGCATATTGATTATTATATTCCCAAAGTAAAAAACCTTCCATTGATTGCAGTAATTGGATGGAAACAATTTCCCGAAGGTACATAAAGATCTCCAGGATTTCTTTTGTAGTTTCACTTTGATCATGAATTTCAATTGTTTTACAGTAGACCATGACCTCTACTGCAATTGATTCTGTTCCAAAATTATTATCCAGTTTAATTTTTAGTTTTAGTTCAATTTGTACTAAAAATGAAAATTCAAACCGGACAATAATTTCAAAAATTTTGCAATGGTTGATCAAAGAAAAAGGTGGAAGGAAGTAAGAAAAGAAAGATAAAGAGAGTAGTTTAACTAGATGATGGTTATGAGCACCAGTATACAAGAAGATTAAGAAAGGAAACAAGCAGTTCTCGTTGAAATCTAATAAAGGTTACAGAATTTCCTACATATTGCTGTTCTTCTACTACTCGTATTTGTATTTCTTCCAGATGCCATCTGCACAGAAACCAGGTATAAGAAGCAACTTCATGAAATGAATGAACTTAATCTGATTTCCCTTTCAATGGCCCCTTTGATGCTTGTGAACCACCATCTTTAATAGCTCTTTCAATCTCCCTTTTGACGCTTGGGAATCCATTCTTGAAGAAAGGGTAGTCGTCAAAAACAATGTGGAAAAAATAAAAAGCTATTTCAACAAGATGAGCATGATTATTAGTTCCTTTCGTATGATCAGGCACCAAGCTGCAATAAAATATCAAAATCCTCCTTGTGGAACTCCGGATGACTCAGTAGAGCCTCTTCAGATGTTATCCCCAGTATTTAAATGCAAATCCCTGATGCCGTCGTAGTAATCAGCCGGTCGTTTGTTTTCGCAGTCCAACGCGCCAGAGCTCCCAAAAGTTTGAAAAGAGAAGCATTCACTTCCGCAGACCTCAAATGTGCCCGTTAGTACTGTAGGAATTTCGCCAGCATCGGACAACACTCAGACGAATATCATGCCAGCATCCCCATCAACCATAGCCGTGTTAGTACTAATTGGGACGACGAAACTGATGATGAGGTTATCGATAAGAGCTTTCAATGCACCATATGATACAAAGAGTTCGTATTGATCATCCCGTGTCATTTCGCGAAGCAACGGAAGCAGAATGCGTGTTGCACGGAAAAGGCCAAACCTCGTCATTCCCTCGAACAGAAAGCATATAATTCAAAAGCTCTAACACCTTTACTGAGCATGAATCGGGTATTGCTGCAAGATATTGGCCAAGTATCTGAACCGAGGCGAGCAGATCATCGCCTTTGTTCTGGCCTTGTTCCTTGGCATGTCACAAGTGCTTCAAAACCACACCAAGTATCATTTCCACTTCATACATGATTTTCATCAGCATGTTGTCACTTGATAATATTGCTCTATCTGGATTTGAAATGAATCTTATTACTGCCCACACTAAAGAATAAATGACACAGAGGTTTCTACACTTTACTGTCATTGATGCAAACTTATTTTTGGAGGCTAATTCATACCTAAGATACGCCAATTCATTGAGAAGAGCAGCCAGTTCCACCCTACAATTTTTCAAGACGAGTTGGATAAATGAGATCGGATTATTGGTGACACCGGCCGGGAGTCCCACCGGACCAATTAACCGTTTTTTTTGCCAACAATTGAAACAGTGGATTTAGCTATGAACAGGGCTTCAAGCTTGTCAGCCGGCCAAATTGACTATTCTTTAAGATAGCTTCCATACCAGCTCGCATGTTTACTTGACCAGACAGCTGTACTACTGGAGTCCTTCATAGACCAAAGAAGAGGGGCTTTTTCTACAGGAGCTGAATATGGTGAGGACAGAATGAGTGATAGGAAGTGAAGTGCTTTAAGAAATGTGACATCAATAGTATCCGGCAAACCGAATATCCGTGCTGCTCCGGCAACCATCATGGCTAGCTCGGATGGATGTTTGATGTAAATTTCCTCATCAGAGAACTTGCTTAGCATGAGCTGAACAAGTTTCATTGCGTATTCGACAACCTTAGAACCAACCAGCGTTAGAGTGGGCATCTGAGAAGCAATAATTTGGATCCCTCCAGATTCATAAAGTGCCCTAACACCATCTTCTCCTTGGGCATTTGCTACCAAATACAATAACTCATAACAATCTTCAATTCTAGACGAAGAGACTAATATTCCGGTAGAGAGAATCTGGATCAGGAGAGAAATGACCGGAAGGATTCGGGAAGAAGATGCAACTTGGGGAGATGATCTAGATAAAGCAGCCAGTACGTTAACAGATAGTGATAGAATAGAAAGTATTCTGTAATTATCTAGTATAGAAAGTATTGTAATTGATAGCATAGAATCGGTAGAGATCAAATCAAATCAAATCAAATCATCTCTTGTAATTATCTTGATTGTATACCAGTCTATATATAATGAAACAACATGCTGTGATCTCATTCATGGAGAATCACTTTCATCTTATTCTATTCTTTTATGGTATCACGAGTCCTTTGCAGCCATGACAAATTCAGCTATTTCTTCTGCCGATCCTTCTTCTTCTTCCGCCCTCCCACAATCTGAAACTTTGCTTCCTTCTCATCCTTCTGAATCTTCCTCGCCGTCATCCCCTCATCTTGCTCTTAGCCTGTCCAATATAAAAAACTATGTCTCTCCAGTCTTAGACTACACAAACTATATGCTGTGGAAGGAGTTGTTCCTGCCCGTCTTGCGTGGACATGGTGTTCTTCATCATATTGATGGCTCCTCCGTTTGTCCCGCTCCCACAATTCTCAATGCCTCTGCGCAATCTATCTCTAATCCTGCCTATAACACTTGGGTCCAAGTTGACTCCATAGTCCTTTCATGGATTCAAGCGACAATTTCTTCTGACATCCTTTAAGCCATCATCAGTCCAAATCGTTCCCTCACTGCTCATGAAGCCTGGACTTCCATTGAAAAACTTTTCCAGGATCACATTGGTGCTCGTGTGCTCCACTTAAAAATGAAATTTCATAATCACAAGAAAGGTGACCTCTCTATCAATGATTATGTCCATAGTCTTAAAAGTCTAGCAGATTCTCTCAATGCTGTTGGCGGCAATATTTCTGATTCTGACCTTGTTCTTCAAATTCTCTCTGGCCTACCAAATGAATATTTACCTGTTTCCACTGCCATCTCTACCAAAATGCCTTTGCCTTCCTTTGTTGAAACAAGAGCCCTTTTGTTTCTCCATGAAACTCAGCTTCAACAGAATTCAGTTCCGGCTTCGGCTTCTCCCTCTTCTGCTCTAGTCGCCAACACTGCTTCTGATCCTGCTCCACACCAGCCATCAAATGCAACTTCTACCTCCAATCGCGGTTGTGGACGTGGGCGTAATCAGGGTTTTCGGGGACGCGGACGCGGTCGCGGCCGTGGCCGTAATCAGGGTTTCTACAACCCTCACTTCTACTCTTCTGCTTCGCAGGCGTCCACATATTATCCACCTCGTCCTAGTGGTAACTCAATTCTTGGTACCCCTCCTTTTCCTCCATCTGCTAATCCTACTCGTTGTCAGTTATGTTTGCAGTTTGATCACATCGCCAGGGATTGTTATCAGCTTCATCAACCTGCCTATTTTATGGATAACACCAATCGCTCCGTGGCCTCTTCCTCTATTCCTCCCTCTCTTGATCAAAATTGGTATCTTGATACAGGTGCCTCTAACATTATGACTCCAAATTCAGGTATTCTTTCTACTCTCAAACCTTATCATGGATTCAATCGAGTTATTGTTGGTGACGGTAAATCGCTACCCATTGCCTCCACTGGTTCTATTTCATCTCCTTTCTTTGAGTTTTTCGTCTGTTTTTTATGTTCCTAATCTTACTAAAAATTTGATTTCCGTTCAGCAATTCACCACTGAAAATCAGTGTTCCCTTGAATTTGATCCCATTGGTGTTTCTGTGAAGGATCTATGGACGAAGAGGCTCTACGTTGCAATAGTTCCGGGCCTCTCTACACTTTTCCTCTGGCTCGCTCTTCCAATCATTTAGCCCTCTCCGCAACTCTTCATCCTTCCTCTTTATGGCATCTTCGGCTTGGTCATCCCAATCCCTCAGTCCTGTCCTCACTAGCATCAACTGCTCAGCTTTCTCAATATGGTTCCAATCATTTAATGTTTTGTCTCCAAATAAATGTTTCCCCTCTCTTTGCCACGCTTGTCAACTTGGCAAACACCAGAGACTCCCTTTTGTTAGTTCTACGTCGGTTACTAGTAGTCCTTTTGAGTTAATTCATTCTGATGTATGGACATCACCATGTCTTTCTTTTACAGGATTTAAATACTTTGTCATGTTTTTAGATGATTATACCCCCTATTCATGGGTTTTCCCAATAAAACAGAAATCCGAAGTCTTCTCTAAATTCGTCCATCTTTTCTGTTTTGTTCAAAATCAACATAACTCAACAATAAAAAATCTTCAATGTGATGGGGCTGCTGAGTATATTAAATCTCATGAATTCCAAACTTTTCTTTCCGCCAAAGGCATCAAACTTCAAAAATTCAAAACAGTTTTTTGTTTTGTACTGATCCGGACAGAATGAAACACTCTCCCTCAACCCGACATGCTATTTTTTCCATTCATTCCTTTTGAAGATCAGTCGGGGTCGTGTGTCTTGCCCATACACCCCTCAACAAAACGGAAAATCCAAACGAATGAATCGAACTCTTCTCAATATGGTTCGATCTCTTCTCACCCAAGCTCAACTACCCCCTCCCTTCTGGGTTGAGGCTCTCAACACCAGTGTTTACCTCATCAATCGTCTTCCTTCCAAAAGCATCTCTGGATCCACTCCCTTCCAGCTTCTCTACAACACTTCACCTGATTATTCTCACCTTCGCGTGTTTGGATGCTCCTGCTATCCCAATCTTTTCGCTGTTGCAAAAAACAAACTTAGTCCACGATCTGTTGAGTGTATCTTTTTAGGTTATCCTTCT